AACTGCACGCGCTCTGACAACCTGAAACATCTCCCTGTGTGGTGCCCTGTGTTTCTACCTAAGTTACCTCTGATCTAACAATGACAAGAGAGGACCTTCTCCCTGCACTTTTAGTCTTGTGTTCTATCTGCAAATTCTGCAGTTTTGGCTTCAGATCAGGGCCCACGTGGCACTTGCTGTCCCCAGGTGTTTCCAAATGCCTGGGGCTGACATTTGGTAAGAATCTGCACCCAGGATAGGACAACAAGATGACAGTAGCAGGGCCAGGTAAATGACCCCTAATTATTTGGAGCACTTAAGAAAATGAAATCCCAGCAGGTTTCTGATTTCCCTCCGTAATTAGCTTCCTCTATTCCCTTAGGCATGCGTTCTTTTAGCAGGGCCCTACTCCATAAATCGTCCTTGGTCCTGGCTGGCTCACAGGTGTTAAGTAAATACCATAGCAGGCACCCTCACAGCTTCAGAGTCCTTTGCAGTCCATGCAGGGGCCTTGGCCTGACAGCTTCTGCTAGTGCTAAGGGGGTGCTTGCTCCATACTGTTTGTCTGGGAACAAGATGCCAGCAGCCTGGCTTTGCTCGCTGTCAGAACACTCTAAGGACTTCTACAGATGTGCATTTATTCCTGTCATGTGTCAAAGGGTCCGCAGGTATTTAATTTATCATGTTAAAGGACTTCCTGGCCCACGTTCTCAAGGTGGTCTGTAATGAAGAGGTTGAATCAATGTTAGCTAAAACATTAATCCCAATTTTGAAACAAATTTAAGACAACTCTAACTCCTGATTAATGGAGCCAATGTTAACTTAAGAGATAAATGTCATAAACCTATCACACTAAATTTAAAATTGCACATAATAAGATAAAAGCACAGATCTTGTGATCCATAAGCTCTCTTTATTTCTGTCCCAACAGCCTCTCCCTCCCTAGAACCTTAATAGCTCCATGACTGAGGTCACTACATTTACCGTCTTAAAGAAAAAAACTGAAAAGTTAAGAGAGAAGAGAACTGGAGAGGGAACAAAAACCTTCTTCTGTATTAGGAAACCTGAATTTTTATTTTTGTGGCTGAGCTATGCTTCTGGGTAAAACACTGCTGGCCAAATTTCTGTTGGCTAAGGTAACAGTGCTGCAGCTGAGATGCTAATCAGTCTTTCTCATGTTGGATGAGAATAGAAATTCATTATTCAATCATTTGTTCATTCATTCAACATGTACTGACGTTAAGATAAACATATACTTTATTATTTAAACAAGGACAATTAGCGTGAAGGGAGTGCTTTATTAATGCCACCAAGACAATGAACTCATACTAGTACTACTGTAAACAAACCAGGCTGCATGATCACCCTAATTAGTGTGCATGTTTCTGTGCCTCAAACTACACTGTCTTGTGGAAACAGAAAATGCCTGTAAAGATGGGGAGGAGGGATATTCTTCCAATCAGCTCTCTCATGCACTCTCAAAATACTAAAAGGTTTTGTGAGCTTATTTGTTTTTTCAAGTGAAATAAAAATACACATTTGAGTCATTCAACTAATGATTTTTCTGGCTTTGCAAATGTTCTCTACCTAAGCACAGAGGTTGAATTTCTAAGAGATAATTCTGTGTTTAGTGGCATTGATACAAGATGAGTAGGCCACTGGGACCTAACATTATTCTCCCCCAAATTGAGGAAATCATTCTCCCACTATTCAAGGAAATAGTACACAACCTAGTGGAAATCTAATTTAAAATTTCTGTATTTTAATCACTTCTCACTTTTTATAAATCAGGAAATATACATAAACTTCCAAAGTATTTTGCCTTCATAACAGACTTCGAATCATAGACCAAACTGTGGGAAAACTTTCCCCTATGATGTCAAGGTGGTGAGTGTGTGGTGGCTTTGCATGGGGAGGGCTGCACCAGGGGCGAAGGGCATGGTTCTAGCAGCCCCATGGGACCAACCTCCAAATTTTCCAGTTTCAGTCCTTCCAATCCAACCCACCCTCTGAGATCACTGCATTTCATTCAGCCTCTCCGTGTACTTGGGTCTGAACGAATAATGGTTTCAGCTTCCACCCTTTCAAATATCAGATGTGGAGGTCCCATGGCTGGCAATATAGCCAAAGAATGACTGAACTCTCTGGCTAGCTCTGGGAAACAGGCCATGTAATGAGGAGGGCAGGAACTTCCCTAACTGTCCCACAATGAAGTCACTTTGGGTTCTGTTCTCATTATACAAATGGCCTGAGTGATTGAATTCTGAGTGTGAATATGGTTATGAACTTTGTGACCCTGCGCAATGTTATGGTCTGATTTGTTCTCTCCATTATCAAAATTTGTATGTTGAAGTCCCAAGCTTCACGCGATCGTATTGAGAGATAAGCCCTGTAAGTTGTCACGTTAATCCACTTATAAGATCCTATCCCACTGATGAGAAGACATTTGGACACACACAAGCACTCTCACAGAGAAAAGGCCACATGAGGACACAATGACAATGTGGCTATCTGTAAGCCAAGAAGAGAGGTCCCAGGAGGAACCAAACTGTCTGACACCTTGATATTGGACTTCTATCCTTGAGAGCTATAAAAAAATTAATTTCTGCTCTTTTAGCCACATATCCAATGGTGTTATGACAGCCCTAGCAAACCAATACAAACAGTTAAATTGGCATAAAATATGCTCCAATGATACCCCAAGATGAAGTAAGGGTACTAATGATATAAAATTGTATTGCATAGAATATATTTATCCATTTAGCATACAGGAGGGAAGCTAGTGTGTGTTTTCCTGAGACTTATAGCTTTGTTAAAGAATGAATTCCACGGAAGAATTCCACGGAATTATATACATTCAGCCTTTTCCTATCTTAACTCAGGATACAGTGAACTGAGTTAGGCTCATTGCATTAAATTGAACCTGCAAAATTTTAATATTTGAAACACAGAATTCTAAATATTATATGATGCTCTAAAAGCAGAAAGAAAAAAACTGTAGCTCACATCTCTGTTTGAGCCACTTTTAACTCTTCTTTCCCCCATTCAGTTTGTTACCAAGTCCACAGAAATAGCCCTTGCATCTTCCTCCCTCATCAGTACTGATTGCCACTGGCTTATAATCAAATCCATGTAACTTCTGGCCCACTCTGTTGTAAGCCAGGGAGGCCTCAGAGGGAGTACAGTATTGTGTAATGGTTAAGGAGTACTGTTGGTTGCTTGAGTTTGAGCCTCGTCTCTGTCACTTACAGCTCCGTCACTTATTAAGTGTGTCCTCACCCAACTTAAGCTTTCAAATCTACATGAAAAAATAGAGGTCAGAATAGTACCTGATCGTGCTGTTGGAGAGCTAGGTAAAATAAATCAACAGCCTTTAACATGGGAGACTCTGGGGAACACTGAACACCTGAACTATAGAACCGTCCTAACATTTCTCCAATTTCCCCATAATCATCCATCCATTCTCCTTTTCTCCCACCTTCTCAAGTTCTTTTTCTAAAGCACAGAGCTCATCTTGACAATGCTTCTGTGTCCTGTTCTGATCTGTGAGATAGACATTTCATGGGGCTCACTGTGCCTTTTGTTGAGCTGATTCCATCTCCACATTCTTCCTCCACCCGTAAGGGCAGAACCAGGTCGACCACACACCAAAATGCTCAGTAAATATTGGCTTATGGAAAAGAACGCATAAAAAAGTCCATGCTGGCTCAAAGGTTTCCTTCTCCCTCACCAGCAAAAGCCTGTTATCTTAGTTCTTAGAGCTGCTGTACAGAATTTGATGATTTAAACAACAAAAACTTATTCTGTCCTAGGTCTGGAGGCCAGAAATCTGAAATCAAAGGCTCACAGGGTCGTACTGACTGCAAAAATGCTAGAGGAGAATCTGTCCTTACCTCTCCCAGCTTCTAATGGCTCTTACTGTTCCTCGATTTATAGCTCTTCCCCTCCAGTTTCTTCCTCTATCTTTACAAAATGTGTTTCCCTGTGTTTCTTCTGTGTGTGTAGTCTCAGACTTTTCCTTTTTTCTCTTAAAATAAAATCACCACCCATCAAACTTAAGACTTACCCTAGGACCAGGACGGTCACATGTGACGACCCTTAACTTAGATATATCTGCAAAGTCACTATTTTCAAATAAAGTTAAAGTCACAGGTACCTGGGGATAAAATTTGGATGTATCTTTTTGGAAACTACAACTCAGTCCACTTATCTGACAAGAGTAAAGGAGGCTAAGGGGTCAGGAGAGGTTAGAACACAGAAAACGCTAAGAATGCTTGGGAAGGAAATTAGTTTTCGATTTTCATCTGACATAGTTCAGAGGTCACGACTGCATGAGTACTGAGCATAACACCTGGCCACAGCCCTTGAGCCAGCCCAGGGTAGCAAGGAAAGAGCCCAGAGCTCTTGTTCATGTCTACTTGATAATGTTTATTGCTTTTGTCTTCTGAAATCATATTTATTACTCTGAAAAATTCTAAAAAAGAAAAAGCTCGTATTTATTTTCATTTGGATCCAGAATGTCCCTCAAAGGCTGTGTTGAAGGCTTGCTTGCTTACTGGTATGCTTTTGGAAAGTGATTAGGTCACGAGGACTTAATTTTATCATCCTTAACAAATTCATTAGGCTTTTGGGAGGTGGGGCCTAGTTGGAGGAAGTAGACCCCTAGTGTGCCTTCCAGCGGCGTGTCTTGTCCCCAAGCCCTGCCTCAGATTCTCTCTCTCCCTTTGCTCTCACCTCAAGCCTATAGCAATGGAATCATCTATGAACTAAAACCTCTGAACTGTGAGCCAAAATAAACCTTTCCAGCTTGAAGCTGACTTTCCCAGTTACTTGTCACAAGAGCAAAAAACTGACAACACACAATTACTCTCACATCCTTTCCATTCCTTTTAGGCTTAGATGTCTTGTTACTTTTAGTGAATGAGACTTACACTGAAAAACAACTTGGATTCTGCTTTTCTTTAAAATATAAAATCTACATGATTTTCATTATATCATTTTTATTAATGCATATTAAATTGTCTTTACATTTTTTAAAATTATGTGTATAATTTAAAAGCTTATAAGATTGTTACAAAAAAGGAAAATAAATCACGAAAGGATTGTTAAAATGCCAATCCTTTATACTATAGTTTCTTCTTATTTCCTGTTCCTGGTATTAATTACTTTTTTTTCTTTTCAGCTGATTCTTTATGCGTTTATTTCCATGTGTCTCAACAGCATATTTGCAGTCATATTTCCTGATTTGTCAAGTTTCAGGCATTATTTATTGGTTGACTGGCTCTTCTGCCTAGATTGTTTCTCCACCTCTTCTGTGTCCATCAGCACTACACACACACACACACACACACACACACACACACACTCACACATTCAGAGACATATTCATACCCATCCACTCACTTCCCATATGGCCACATATATCTACACACATGTTCATGAGTCACACACATCACACTCATTCACACACATATACATACTCATGCACACACATATATATACACATGCACTAATTTCCATCACCTTCTATGATAAATAATTTATTTAATAACTATGAAAATATAATTTAGTATAGTAATTTAGTTTAAATCAATGTGCTCACATTTAACCCTAGCTAAGTTAGGAAGCTTAATATAATTTTATTTTTATACACCTTTTACTTTCCATGGTATTAATAATTGCACTTTTATTTACTTTTTTCTATATATGTATTACTAATGCATCTTGTGTCTCCATTTCAGTCTCCTTTCAGTATTTTTTCAATCTATTAATTTCTCCTTTTGAGTCGTCTCCTAGAGCTTGCCTATCTATCTCATTGATTCAGTTCCTCCCTGTGCCCACTGCGTGGCTGCTGGCCTGAAATCCCTTTGGTCCTGTTTCCCGTCTCTTTGTTTTTTCATTTGTTTGCTCTCTTGTTGTGACTGAGCAGCTCTTTCAGTAGCTTCCTAAAAAACGAGGATAAATTTTAAATTCTCTGACATCCTGAATGTCTGAAAATGTCTTCAGTTTACCTTGTATTTAACTGTTATGCTGACTGGAAATCAAATTCTAGGATGAAGACATTTTTTATTCAGTATTTGTACAAAATTTTTCTCTAGGTTTCTAGCTTCCTCTGTTACTGTTGAAAAATCCACAATCATTCTCTACCAAAATTTCTCCCAGGTCTCTACTTATACTGAAAAGTTTACAATATTTCTCTTTGTCACCAGAGTTTTGTAATTTTACAAAGATGTATCAGAAACTTGACCAGAATCCAACCATACCCTCAGATAGGATTTTTAAAGATGTTTTGATGAAGAAACTGCTTACATAAATCATGATGAAAGGAACCCAGAGAGCTGGAGGCACTTAGGGACTGGTAGCAAGCAACTTGTCTCCTTTAACTGCAGGGGTGGGGAAGAAACACCAGAATCAGATTCTGGTTGTGAGTTGAAGCTGAGAATCAAGGTTCAACAGAACTTGCAGCAGGGCCAATCACCACCAAGACTTCGTGTGACTCTGTTATAGCCCGGTCATCACATTTAATGCCTGCATTCACTCACTTTGCCTTTCCTAGTGGATACTTGGTGCTTGTTGACCATATACTGGTCTCTGATGTGTCACATATTCTTTCCTATATTTTCAGAGAGCAAATCCTTTTTTCTTTCTGGGAAAAGTATATACATTAGATATGGATGGAGAAAAGAGACCAATTATTGAAGAACTTAATCGCTGCAACTTGTTTGTAGAAAGAGGATTGTCCTTCCTTCTATAATCAGCTGTCCACTGCTAGGACCTGACACCCACAATTTAGAAGAGGAGAAATTTGTTTTAGCTGAGTTTCTGAGGTTTCACTTAATGGTTGGCTGGTTGCAAGGCAGTAACTCTATGGTGAAAGGGCATGGTGGAAGAAAACTGTTCCTATCATGATGGCCAGAAAGCCAGAGAGGAGGAGCTTCAGAGAGGAAGGGGTCAGAGGTCAAACTCCCATGACCAATTTCCTCCAGGTGAGCCCTACCTGCTAATGTCCCATTCAGCTTTGAACTTGTTGATAAGATCAGTATCCTCACAATCCAGAAGTTTCCGAATCCAGTCAAGCTGACAAGCAAGATTAACCATCATACTCCAGTTATCTAGCAGGAAGGAATTATAGCTCTTGGCCTTCTCCTCTAGGGCCCCATGCAGGTACTGGTTTGGCAAAAGGTTAACAGACAAGTTCATTTGCCTCTGGAATACCTTTAAGTTAGTCCTTTTAAATAGGGCACAACTGGGCAGTCCATGCAGGAAAATATTACCGATGGTGGCCAGGATGGGCCAAGGTAAGTCCGGAGAGAACAATTGCCAGCTTCAATAATAACATCTTTGTATGTGTTAGATACAGTATCTTCTCTGGGGAAGCAAGAAAAACAGATGGTCTGTGAGCACAGAAGGACTGAGTGCTAATCCCTGTTCATTCCCAGAACCAGGCACTTCATACAAACTTTGCAACTACATAAAGCAGCCATAGGTACTGACTAAGAGATTAAATATCATACATTTTCCAGATACAGAGCATGACCAGTGGGCACCATGACCCTGAGAAGGAGGGAGATCTGTTGTCGTCATCCAGAAACTATCTCAGAATAAAATAACAACAATAAATATTTGGAAGTTAAAAACACAGAAAAATAAGGGCTAGGAGATGCAAGCCTGTGACAAAGCACATGCCTAGCATGCAGGAAGCCTCGGATTCCATCCCCAACACTGAAAAGTAAAAACAACATAGAAAAAGTAGCAGTAATCAACTTAGCAGGCCCAAGAAAGGTAAATCCTAAACAAGCAACAGGGAAAGCTAAAGCACCACTAGAATTGTACCCCAAACCTGCCCCCACTTCTGTCAGGCTAAGATACAACCTGTTCCATTTCTCTAGCCTGCTCTGTAATCTGAAGCAAGTTTCTCTTACAGTCATAGCAATCTGCTCATACAATCTTAGCAAGCTGTATACCTTCTATCTCTTCATCTGGTGCCCTAACTGCTTAATTACATCCCATACTCAGCTCTCAGAGAGACTGGAAAAACGTAGTCTCTAATTAGTCCACAGAAGACATTACAGGTCTCTGACAGCCCCAAAACTGGACCTGGGGGCACTCAAAGATAGCCTCTGAATCGGTTGAAAGATAAAATGTTGCAATGACTAGGGTTGCCTCCTTGGAAATTCATGCAGGCAATGTTTGGACAATACAATCAGCCATGAATCTTGTGTGAAGACTGTACTCTTTTGTATACAAATTTAGATTGTATTATCTACAATAATTTAATTCACTGGACTAAGCTGAAGCTTACTTGGAAAGTGAAATTTTCATGTGTACAAGGACTTCTTCCCATGCAAATAACCCTTTTTATAATAGGCTGGACCTGTGGTGGCCTAGCAGGGAAGGACAAGCAAATTCAACTGCTGATCCTGCATGATCAAAGCATTCAGGCTGCCACAAGTCACCAAGGCCTGCTTTACTTTACTGATAACCCCAAATGAACGCAAGCAGAGAGTGAACCTCAGCACAGCTCTGGATATCTACTTTTCCTCTTATTTGCTCCAGGGTAAGTAGCTTGTCTGATCGGCTACCAGAGGGCTAGTGGACAGTAGATGCAGTGCGGTCTCCTCTGAGCCAAATCATCTTTGTACCCAGCCCATGTGATTAACACAGGACAATGGATGGCCAACTTGGCAGCTCAGCTCATTGGTGCCCAGCACAATTCCCATGAACAAACCATTTTACTTCTTTGTATCTGAGTCTCTGTTCTTTAAAATGAAAGATTAAAAATGCATTCCATTCATATGGTTGCAAACAAGATATAATTTGTAAGACACCGTGTACCAAAAAGAGAAAAGACAAATATGGGTAGCTGGTTGCCAGGTTACTGTTTCTGCTTAGAGAAGTCATCTTTGCATGAGATAGTTTCACATGTTAATGTGCTCCATCTTTGCCACTCAAAATTGCTTTTTATTATTTTTTAATTGTGCTAAAATACATGGCTTACCATCTTAACCATTGTTAATTAAGTGTATGTTGTACTACTGGTAAGTATATTCACATTGTTGCTCAAACTCCAAAGTTTTTCTCTTGTAAAACTGAAACTCTACCCTCTAAATAACTTTCCATTCCTCTCATAACTGGCTTTAAAATAATGCTTCCTCTCAAGCCTCCAGAGCCATGATAGGCTATGTCAGTGTGGTGCAGGAGTTCATGAGACCCCAGGGCTTTTCTTCATCTTCTCATAATCTGCATGAAGAATTAGTTATGCCAAACCTACGTAAGATAGCTTCTTTGTAAAATTTTTAAGGTTGAAAAGCATGTGATTATTCTCAAGGATCTCATGGTAGATTTGCCAGTGTATAAGTTATCATGTGTGATTCAATATCATCATAAATGATAATAACAACGGTCTGTGTGAGGTGCAGAGGCAGTCAAAGGCAGAAGCCACCAATGTAGTAAATACAAAAAGGGCAAAGAAAGCAGGCAAGGACTGTTATGTAAAGGTTTTTGAAAGGGAAGATTCTCAGGATTTTAAGAAGACGAAAACAAGAATTAATCATGAGATTACAATGAAAAAATTTGAAATATTAATGGGTCTAATTCACAAAAGAAGTTTTAAATATTGATAATTTTAGGCAGGAATTTTAATAGAGCTGGGGAAGGCAGTTATGGCAATGGAGGAGATCTCTTTAGCAGGGACCTTAGAAATCCCGCCTGCATAGAGAGCACACCTGTCTTTCCTTAATAATTCAAATATTCCTCCAGGACTAATTAACGTTCAGCATAAAAATAAAAATTATGGGTAAAATCTGAGGTTGTAAATTGTATTAAAATTTTCTTCTTTTTTGATGTATTTGTCTTTTATGATAACAGAGCTTGAAAATCAGTAATTATTTTTACTATATTTTTAGTTTTTGTGTTTGATTTTAAAGCTTGGGTTCTGTTCACAATGCTAAAAAAGCATGCCACCTGTATAGGTAGAGTACTTTAAAAGCTATTCATTTGTTACTTAATGGATAGTAAAAAAAGAATCATATTGGAAATAATTCCCAAAATCATATTTTATTAACAATGATTGTTAAAGAAATCTTTCAAACATATTCCAATTCAACTATTGATTAAGAATTTAACTATTATTTTCCTTCTTACCTAAGTGTTCCATGTGGCTATAAGTTTTCTTTTCCATTATTTCAAACCCAGTGACATATTTGAAAATCCATGATTTATGGCTTCAGTATACAGAGCTAAATAGTTCTATTATAAATTCTTATGTGTATTTTAGATGAGGAATCAGAACAGTTATAGTCCCATAAATTTTAGGGTCCCTCTTGGCCTGTCCTCCATCTTACTTCAAAAGAAAGACCTAGCAAGATTTAAACATGAAAAGCAGTCCACAAGCAGAAGTCAGAATTGAGGCCCCTTGAGGTCTGGGAAGCCCTTCCTCTGCTTCAGAAGGTTTCCAGAGCAAGGTTGCCTCTGCCTCTGCCTCAGGACCTACCTGAGTTCCTTCCTTATCTTCCCTGATTCCCAGGGGCCTTAACTAGAAGATAGCATTCCACATAACCCCCAGTGCTCAAAGCCTGAGAACCTGGTGAGCCTACGGCACAGGTAAACATACAAGAGTTGTAGGGAAATTTAAACTGTTTCCTCACCTTAATTTTACATGCCTACATCTGTCAGACTATTTTAGCAAGAAATTAAAATTCAGAAGATGCTGAGTAAGGGCAACTATGAATCCTTTGGAGAGAAGAGATACTTGCATTTATGTGTACACACAATTACCAGTAAAAAAACAAAAGCAAATTTCCCAGATGTGGGCCAGGTGCCTTCAATTGCTTGAGAGATATGAGTTTGACAGAGACATCTCCAGATATAATTTATATTTTGTGATTCAGGAAGCCTAATTAGATAGAGGAGAACCGATTAATCTCACCACCAATTTCTCCAACTATTGAGTCTTAAACTAACATGGCAGGAAATCTTACAGTGCTCAGGAGGTGAAGTGCAGGGGAGCTCCACAGGTTTCTTTTTCTTCCATTTCCTCCTTTAGTATCAGTTTTTCCAGGCCTGATTAATTTTAAGCAAAGGAAACATTTTAACACCTCTCCTTCCTGAAATACAAAGTAACACAATTTTTTTAAAAAATGACTATTTCTCCTTTTTTGTTGTGTGATTTAAATTTTTCCTCTCTTTGAATCATTCAGTTACTAGAGCATCTGTTTTAAATATACTGCTTTGGTAGAGTTTCCCTCCCACATTTTTGTTAGTAATACATCTGCTTATTGGTTCATCTTGAATTCCAGAAGAGATGTGCAATTCTTTTAAATGTGAAAACATATGAGGAAGTTACTACATTATTTATATTTAGAATGCTGTGTTTGGGGCGTAAATGTTTGTGTGGTAAATGATCTAAGATACATATGACAACTTCAAGGTCCTGGCTAGCTCCCCAGAGAGTAAGGAAACCAAGGAGAGAGCTCAGTTGTATCACTAATGTTTTATGTCTTCAACATGAAGAAATTGATGAAACAACCATAACATGATCCTAACACCTATTTGGTCGGCATAGGTCATAGAGGTCATTTGTACCACAACTAGAATAACCATGAAAACCTTAGAAATAAGATTGATGTTAAATTTTCATATACAAAGCACAAAACCCAAGAAGAACACATAAGCAGGAGATATCATGGCACAATAGGAAAAGATCTTTCCTTAATCCCAGCTGTAGCATTCTTTCAACACAAGATAGGACACGTTACTGAACCCTCTAAGCCTCAATTTATCCATTTGCAAAAGGAGGAATTCAGTAACACTTACTTTACAAATTATGGAGGGTAACATACAAATAGAATATAAAACTCTTATCTGAACCTTGCATAATCCATATAGTGTCATGGTCAACCTTTCAATGGAAGAGTAAAACCTTAAAATTCACTCCTAAATAATATCTAAGTCTACTGAAATCTATTTTTTAAGTTCCAACAAAAGTATTCCTAAGTGAAATACTTTAAAAGTAAAAGAGTTGCTGGGAATACAGCCTGGTCCTAGAGCATGCACTTACACTTATGTGTGAGACCCTGAGTCCCTGCTCCAGCACCAAAAAAATAAACTAAAAATAAAAGTAAAAAAAGCATTGAGGTATTAGTATGAAAATGAGTTGTAAGTAATAAGCCAAGAGAATATTCGAAATGCAACATGGAAAAATAAGCTATACATTGAAATAGGGTAGCTGTGGAAAACTTTCCTTTAAAATTATTAAATTTTGTGGAAAAAAGAGAGAATTCAGTGGAGCTTTTTGACCACTCAGAAGGGAAAGGAAAAGAAAAATTAATGATCAGCTTCATGGATGGTACCTTTTACTGAGGCTCAGACAGTTCACCAAGCTAGCATGTGGAGAATAAATTTTAAAGCTATGTTTAGTTTCAATCTTAAATCTACACTTTTCCATTATTCTTCAAAAGTGTTCCTTCTGAGGACATAATTCTGATTAATCCCCCTTGAAGGTCACTCACTAATATAACCTATAAACATAGGTCTTTCTTCTTCAGACTGATAAAAATTAACTGTTGAATCAGAATAGCCATACTAATTCCCACAAAACAAACAACTGTCAAAGTCTAATCCACAGGAAGAAATTTCCTAACTGCTTCTATCATTAGCTGAGAGCATTTTCCCTCTGACCATTTACCTTGAGATTAAACCAAAGAGGAAGGCCCCATTACATTTAATGAATCTCTGTTCTGGCTAAGCATCGTATATTCTTTGTCCACCAATCCTTCTAATAACAAAGTTCATCTATTATGCTTTAGACATAAGAAAACAGTAGCCAAGAAAGGAGAAATGAATTAGTACCTGCAGTTATTTGGGGTCAAGATTTAGACCCAGGTTATCTAGCACAGAGCACATTCCTTGCTTGGACACAACTCCTGTCCTAGGGCAGCCTCCCAGCAGGGTTTGAAAGGGACATGTATTAGTCCCAGGCTATCACACTGTTTGAAACTTCAAAGCATCTTCTAATACTAAAACATTGTAGAAAGAGATAAGATAAAAGCTTCCACTAACAGCATTATGTTCCCCATACCTAACAATGACTTGCTGTCTAAACCATGCACAGAGATGAAAGAGGTGGCTTATTGTTTACCTGTTCCCTTTGCTAGACGTTGACTTTCTTAGTCTGTTCTTTGGCTCTAACAGAATACCACAGACTGGGTAATTTACAATGAACAGAAATTTATTTAGCTCATGGTTATGGAAGCTAGGAAGTTCATGAACAAGGGGCCAGGCTCTCATGAAAATCTTGTCATATCCCATTTTGAAAGCACAAGAGCCAAAGAGGGTGAGACAGAGAAGGAAAAAGAGCCAAACTCACTCTATTCAAAATGAACCCACTCCTTCAATAATGAACTCAACAATAAACTTGTAATCACGGCATTGGTCCATTCATGAAGGTGGTGCCCAAGAATCCAAATACTTCACATTGAGCTCCACCTCCCAACACTGCTGCACAGAGAATCACATTTCCAATACATAAACCATGGAGGACGTGTTTAACCACAGAGGGCTATCTCTTCCAAGTCCCTAGTGCTAGGAGGCAACTACTTTAGCTACACTGCAAACCATAATCCTCTGGTCGACAGAGTTTCCTTCTGGTGAATAACATTTCAAATCTCCTGAGACATGACTATTTTATGAGAAACTCCCTATCAAACACTTTGGGAAGATCAAGGTTTAAAAACATTAACGATAAAAAATCTTTATGGCAACAGTTTGACTGGTTTTATGATCCAATATCACTGGTCTTCCTGTGAGCAATCTTTGATTCTGTCATGCATAGCCTTTTACCTCCTTCTTTAGCATCTTTCCCCCTGAGTTTTGCAGGAATACATCAGTTTTGTATTCTATTTTATTGATGAGATTTTCCAGTCTTAATTCTCCCTCTTTCTCCTGAAATGCAATTTTTAATTCCCACAGTTTTATATTTCTTGTAGCCACTTTTTGTCTTATCTGATGATTCTGTGTATGTGCGCCATCCACTCAAATGCCAGCCGACAATCAGTGATTTTATCCAAATGATTACACACAAATTGTTACGAGGGTGGAAGAAACAATTTCATATTTCCAGGGTAAAAAGGATTAGAAAATGTACTCGCTGGAAAAAAAATCAGCTAACATGAAGCAGAATGTAAGTAAAGTAATGGGAGAAGATACATGCTATTGCATATTCAACTCTCTGATGAACAGAAAAGATTAAAGAGTGATTTTTAAAAGCTTAGAAATTTTAAACATTGCACATACAAAAGCAAAGAAAACATTTTTCATAAAAAACAGAACACAGAAAAAAATAAAAAGAACATTATAGAAAATCCAGAACTAAGAAAAAATAAGTCTGTCATAAGAATTGTAAGTTGAGTCACCCCCCCCCCAGGAAATAAAAACTCTGATATGCCAAAAATTCCAGCTGTGTTCCATTTCTACAAAATAAATTAAAAGCAAAGAATAATAAGCTGGATAAAATAAAAAGACAGTTAAAAATCAAACTAGTATTGGTAAAAATAAAGCCAAGGTCATAATATTAATATACTATGAATTTGAATTAGAAAATAAAATATGAATTGGGTCTAAGGAAGCAATTTCATATTTCAAAATGAAGGCATATTTCAAAATGAAATATTATTCATCAGTATCTATATTTATTTTAATGAAATATAAAAATACATAAATACTAATAATAGCACAGATTTGATAAATGTTCACATTATTTTCATTAAAATGCTAGAAACTTTTAACAACCTATCACTATTTATTGTAACCAATGTATGGTAGGTACCCCAAGTATCTTAGACCTAAGATCGTCACATTTACATAAATTAGAGTTTTTGAAAAATCCTCCAATCAGCTGAAAGAGCAGCCTACAGCTGTAGCAGAAAATGCCCCTCCCCAATCTGTGCACTTCAGTTTGTTAGTTGTACAGGTAATAAATCAGATTACAGGTCCCATTACTTTTGTTTCTTAGAAACAGCTGGTCACTGTAATCATAGCTGGTCACTATGATGCGTGTTGTAAAAATCAAAGACAGCCAAGTCCTCTGCCTTTCTGCTTCGCCTAGCCCCCCCCCAATAAAAAAAAACCCCTTCTCTGAGTCTTCAAGAACTGATATTTTGGGATTGATCCCAGTCAATGCCTGTTGCTGTAAAATTAACCTGCCTCCAAATCCCAGGTGTTGTTTGGTGTTTCTGCTTGCCATTGCACAATCTGAAGGAAAAAGAGGGCAAATGTTTTACAATCTTACAGAATTACGTGATGTAATAAGTATTTGTATTGCTCTCAAGCATGTGCTGCATCCTGCGTGGTAATATCCCAGTGTGCAGGATTTCATCTCCTGGTTCTTTTCAATAGACTATTTCTTTCTCCCAAGAATGAGGTGCATGATAATCAGTGCATTTGTTGGGCATATGCCCGCTAACATACTTCTTTATCCATTTTTCTATGTAATACCATGACTATACATGGGGCAGTCTATGAACTCAAAGAATAGTCCTGTTAAAATGAAGAAAGTTATACTAGCATTTTGTGTGCATTTCTTTGAAGATAAATTTCTATACCCCCTTTGATGGTGATAGCAATCACCTTGGGGAATATTGCCATACCAGGGCACTCACACTAATATCATTTATTAATAGAGTGAACAATCAATAGTAGGAAAAATCTACAGTCTTGAGCCAACACGTAACCTCCATTCTTGCCAATGTAGTCACTTTGTGTAAAAATCCATCAAAGAAGCCACTTGAAGGAGAGAGGCTATCTGACATCCAAAGAATGAGCTATCTTGTCAACCTGATGGTGGAGATGCTTTTGGATGGTAAGCAGATATGATGAAAAATAAGTAGCTTCATTATCATTGACCATTTTGTTGCAGATCACCAATCCTGTGCTTTCCAAGTTCCAGACTATTTCCCATCATCTTCATGCATATATTTTACTAAGACATACAGGATATTTTTTATCAAATTAGCATATAATCCTAATTATAACAAGCCAGTAGGATATCTGTGATATAACAGGACATCCAAGTTCCTCAAGGCTGTGTGATCATAAGGGAGCATGAGAG